AATCATGTCAAAATGAACCATATTATTATGTACAGCTATATTACACTAATAAGATATTACCAAAGAAACACAGAAGACAGAGAAACTGACTCAAAATGTAAGGCAAGAGTGTTTCCCAGGACTCAGACTTGAAGAATGAGTAGAGAATTTGCAAGATAAAATAGATCCCAGTGGTGGAAGCATTAGATACAAAGAGCAGAGGAGTGAAGATCCCATTGAATTACAGAATCAGTGAGTGTACCGTTTGGGCATGCTGAGGGACCCCTGATCTTCTTCTTCCATTCAATCACTGCCTGATAGTTCTCTATCATTTCAAATTTATGGGGGTTCTTTTTTGCCTTCCTAATTAAAACACCTTAAACCAACACTTGTTTCACTTTATTTGGTTTGATTTTAGAAGAGTGACTTCATCTATGGAAATTTTTTCATTCTATTTTAAGTTTTAGAGTAAGGCGGCTACCACCATGCTTGTGACAGACAGCCTTCGTACCTATTAAGGAAGGAATTGACCTCTAAATAATGACTCTTTTAAATTTGTAAGTTTAATATCATCCTTGTGTGTTATTTGGAGCATCTAGATGAAAACATTTATCTGACAAAAAGTGGAGAAATGTGGCCAAAATCCAAAGTCTTAAATTGTCTAGATGCTTAACAAGAGATAGACTAAAATCCTGATCAGATGGTCATAACAAATGAATAAAATCTAATATTTTTCCACTACAAGTTTTGACTGGGTTTTGGATCCTTAATGTTCTGTTGATGTGATACAAGAGTCCCAGTTTTCTCTGTTCATTACTACCATTACTGTATAAGACTGTCTCAAACTTATCTGGGTTAAGGTAATCAGTATGCACTGCTTTCCCTCTACATAAAAGGTCATTCATTCTCAAACAACTTTTTATTGCCTTTTAAAAATAGGTACTCCATTGGCTTTTCCCCAGTGATCTGGGGTCCTGCCAATCCTCCACAGATCTTCACATGTTATCATTCTTGGCTCTGTGATTACATCAATTATTTTCTTGGCAAATCTAAGGTAGAGTTGGTCAAGCCCAACTGACATAAAAATATGTAATGCCCCTAAGTAAATTCTAAGCCAGTTCAAATTCTTCAACTTCAGTTTTTAGCTTAGCCTTTTTTGGTTAGGCATATCTCTATAGTTACTTTGTTTTTGATCATGCTCTTCTATACACACGTGAAACTGCCAAGAGGCTCAGAGAACAATTTAGAATCATGCAAATCCCTTAACACTATTAAATCCTACTTGATCCATGAAGAATAATTAGCAAGGTCTGGGGAACTTGTGTGGGACTTTACCTATTTACAGTTAGGTCCATCTATTTGTGAACAGCCAGGTTAGTTTTAGTCAAGTTCAGATAACCCTTTTGAGGAAGGCTAATAGAACTATGTAATTTTCTAGTTCAAGAGGGTGGACAGAACCACATTCACCTCCTCTCCATTCTAAATTCCCATTGAAAGGAAAATGCATATAAAACAAATAAATCCTTGACAGACTTTTAAATAACCCTTTAAAAAATGAGAAGAAAGGGAGTGGCATTAACAAACCAGAAAGTTCAATGACGTCCTTGGAAGACAAGATGCAGATAGGTCTATATTGTTAGATAAACTTTTGTAAAGTAAAGCACAACTCAAAACATAGAAAAACCATGTAGTAGAGGTGGGAACAATTTTCCTTAAAAGGTCCCTGAGTCTCCAACCAGATACAGGCAGAAGTGGCCACAAGGGTCTATAACTGGAAGTCCATCCTTAGAATTCTGTCCAAAATAGCCCCTTTTCTCCCTCCATTTATAGAGTATTTGGTTTATTTGGCAGTTGTGGTGCCCAACACTGTTCAAGTACTAGAAATAAAAATCCATTTTTCATAGAGTTTGCATTTGACGTCAATCCTGAAGGCAGCCCTTCCACTTGGGATAGTGGCCTTTTGGGTAAAATGGTCCATTTAATCTCAAAGGATGCCCGTACCATATATCTATACTAATGAATATAGTTCTTTCTGCACAAAAATTAGTGATTGACCAAAGATTACTAAAAACTAAAGAGAAACTAAGTATAGAGAGAAAACATGAATAAATATTAAAGCTAAAGAAATAATGTAAGAGATAATGTAAAAGAGAACATCGGAAATGTCTGATCAGTATTCAAATTAAAAAATGTATTGCATTTGTAATATAAAAAGAGGTTTCTATGTGTTATTAGAAAAACATGAATTTTTATGCATTAAAACTCATAAAACAATGATACACAACATAAGTTCAGAAAGCCCTATATCTCTCTGTATATGTATATGTATATTATTATAATATTTATTTATATTAGAAGGAAACAATAAAAACAATAAAGGAATCAAAATAATAAAAGAAATAACAAAAGAAAATAGATGAAAGTTTCTTTCAACTGGAAAAAAATTATTAACCCAATAATTGGCAAACCCCACCAAATATCAAGTGGAAAAACTATGCCCTAAATATAACTTTATAAAATTTAGAACATCAAGCAAGAAGAGAAAAATCACAAAAACTTTTAGAAAGGAAAAAAAAAGCATTATCTAAAAAGAAGTCAGCATCAGATTAACATCAGTTTTTTAATCAACATGTAAAAAAAGTATAAAGAAAAGTTAAACAAAAAATTCTATATTAAGTGCAATTTTAGCTAAAGCTTAAGAGAAAATAAAGGCATTAGACATGAAAGTCATTTCTTGTGACTATTTCTTGTCTCTTTGCTAAGGAAAATATTAGGAGTATATATTCCAGTAATATGAAAAATAATCCAAGAAAGAGGAAGAAAAGGAATCCAACAACAGTTTAGGTTGAGACAGAGCTATAATGAAAGGAGTCTTAAAATGAGCAGTAATCCAGGAAAGCAATGAGTACAAATGAGAAGGAAATTAGAAACTTTATGAAAAAGATTTATGTTGATTGGAGGATGGGAATATACATGAGAATACAGAAGTAAAAGAAATTCATGGTGATATGTGAAGCAAAGTAAAATATGATATTATTTTGATCAATTGTTTATATATATGATATAGATATATAATTACCAGTAATAAAGAAAGTAGAGAAAATTTACTAGTATCTCTCTATTCACCATTTTTTGAGCACCTACTATCTGTGTGTTCTGGATCTATAATAATGAATCAGAAAGACCCATGGCCTTATCATGAGAGAGATTACTCTTTGCCCACATAGATAGACACTAAACAAATAGTTACACATAAATTGCTCAATTGTATTAAGTGTTGCAATGGGTAAGTGAGAGAATAGGTGACAGAACTGAAGTCTAGGCGATCAGGTTCCTTTGTGAGAAAAAGCAAGTTTAATTAAGGTAAACTTCTTGGTACTAAGTTTATAGCCACTGGACACTGGGGAATACCCAGTAAGAGACAGTTGTTCAAGGCAACTAATCCAGCTCCCACTAAGCAAAGTTCTGTCCCTTATTCTTTATAACTCAAGTCATAAATAAAAGCATTTATAGATTTTCATGGTTTTGAGTTTTCTGAACTTGAGAAATTTCCCCCCAGAAATGAATCAAGTCACTTAAATTAAAAAAAAAATTAATAATATATTGAAAGCTGGCAATTTGGCAATCTGCTCTGAGGCTAGGGAAAGATCAATCCACTTTAACATTTGAAAAAAAAAAAAGTATAGTATTTCCAGAACTGTCAAGAACATCAAGTTTTGAAGAAAGTAATTGGATCTCCCGCACTTAAAAACTATTTATTTACCCATTTTCAACAGCATTCACTCACAGAAACCAAGTGTGAGGAGCCAAAAGCAAATTTTTATTCAACCTGTATCCAACATTGATAAGGATAGGGTATGGGAGAACAGATAGTCCTATAGCATGAGCAGAAGGCTGGCCAGGCAGGGAAACCTGAATGGAAGAGAAGTTTCAGAGGGCATGTACACAAAGTAATACACTAAATAGGAGCTCGTTTATCGTTTAATGAAAATGTCATCTGATCCTCCAAACAGTGGGAACTTCAGGCTAGACACACCAGGACCAATGTGGTAAATCTAACAATAGACTGCAGGACTCCAGAATGGGCTACCTCAACTCCAGAGAGCCTGAACTCTTCCTTACATCTACCTGGCTCTTAGTTTTATACAATCTGCACACCTACTCTCTGACTTTCATACCCATTTTTGGTGCTTCCGGTTTGGCAACCTGTGAAACTCAACCATTTGGTCAAACCAGGAGAGCAGATTGGAACACATTGTCACTGTTTGTTCCTTTGGAGAGTATCATTTAAGGTCAATCCCAAGCTAAAAGATCCATACAAAGCAGATGCACTGAGTAGCTTACACAGAACAAGTTCATTCTTGTGTAACCCAAGTGAAGTCAACCAAGCAAGAAGTTTTCTTTCCCACAAATAAGAAAGTTGTATTTCAGCCTACTATTGTCTTTAAATGACAGATGTAATAACAGATGCATCTAGGTCTTTTAACATTAAAAAAAAAAATGAACAGATACTAAGTTGCTGACTGTCTCTATGTACTTTCCAATCACACAAATTTTTCCAACCCCCTAAAAAACCAAAGACAAGACAATTATTTCAAGGAGTGTTCATTATAGGTTGACAGAAAGCAGAATTCTCTCCTCGATGTTTTGAGCTTATTTTTCTCTGGGGGGGCTAGAGGGCACTTTGTTTTTATGAAATCATTTTTGGTCTCCTGTTCATGCTCATAGTTTCTGTTTTGAAAAATACCTGCTATTATACACACACACACACACACACACACACACACACACACACACGGATCCAGGATCATGTAAGAAACCTGTACACACAGTATGTTCTACATACCAGGCCACTGTTAAGGTGCTTTACATGTGTTAACACATGCCATCCTCATGTAGCCCCAGAAGGTTGGTATTCAGAAAGGTTATGCAACCTGTCCAAAATCAGCCAACTAGGTGGCGGGGCCAAGCAATCCACATCCAAGAGCTCTGATGTGTAAAGCCTGCTTGTAAGTAAATGTCATATTTTTGCTTGACTTTCATTCTTGTTTCATCTATGTTTATCTTGAGACTTGTGATCCTCAAGTGCCAGTGATTCCTCTAGCACTTGAACATTCCCTCCCTTTCCCTTGGCTCCCTCTACCTGTGTTTCTGGCCTGCCTGTCAAATAGTTAATGATCTGTATACAAACACTTACATGAACTAGTGGAGCTCAGCCTTTAAAAGAATCCTAGGGGAATTCTTTAAAGACTCTTTTACAATATGAATAATCATCACTTAATTTATTCATCTGTAAGTTTTGGGTTTCATTTAGTAGATTTTCTTCAGGCAGGATCAATTACATTGCTTTTTTTTTTTTTCTAGCTCATCTCAGATGTGTCAGCTTTGCTTTGCCATTTTTTGATCCCAAAGCCCAATTTTTAATGTCCACAACATTCTTTTTTTCAACTTTATAAAAGTAAAAGATATGTAGAATGAAAACTCTTTATTAGGGACTATTTCTTATGACATGGAAATTTTAGCCTCTTTTACTAACTTGGGATGCTTATTTGTTCAGACACATGACAATGGAAACAAACCTCAAGTGTCCAGAATATTGTTTCTATCCATTTTAATTTTGTTAGGCCAGACTCAGTTTCCATAACAGATCAGATTAAATTTTAGTATCAACTCCCTTCTCACTTTCTTTTCAACAAAATTTGCTGTTCTATACCCTTAGATTTTTCTAGCAAATATCAGCTTGACCTGACTGCGGCAGTCCCCTCTTTGGCTGACCTACCTGCTCTAAGAGATCCACCTAGCAGTTTAGTTTTCTAAGATTAGGAACAAAAACCAGACTGAACCATATTTTTAAGTACTGTGAGCAAAAAATAAAGAGTTCAAATAAGGCCAGACATTCCCTGGTTGTCACCAAGTCATATGATGATGTGAATGTTTAATGTTTTGTCTCAATTGCTGAACCTCACATTTTGATTTTGAGTACTCACTTCAAGTTTGAGGTCCAAATTTAGCTCTTCTGTTGTAATATAATAATTTTCCCAATTAGTAGTAAGCGGTGGAAATGAACGTTATTGTGGATATCCTCCCGGTCACTTTCCTCTAAGGTCTCTGAAACACATTTTCCAACCCCTTCCATGTGATCCAGATCATGTTATGGATTTGTTAACTTTGCAATACATTCGATTGAAACATCATAATTCTTTCCATGACAACAGTGTCTGATGTTACAGACACACAACCAGCAAGGTCAAGAGTTGACAGATGGAAGTTGGACCCATGCAATTACTTCTCCCAAACCATTAGAAAGAATGTAACTGAAGAAAGGTGGAACCTAGTCTAAAATACACCCAACAGTGTAAGACACAAAAATAATTGCTTCATATTTAATGAATCTTTGATATGACAACCAATCCAAGAATCTTCGAATTTCTTTTCCCTGGTAAAAGTCAAAACATTTTTGAGGCAGTGGCAGTTTATCTAAATTATTGTTTTTCCTCCGTCAGTCCTTAGGCTTAATCTCATTTGCTTTTATGGATATGGTAACCCTTTTGAATAGCTTTTAACCTTTTAAAAGTCTCCTTGACCTGAAGAGCCTAAAAATGTTTAATACAATATTGAATGATAAAAATTGAACAAGCAAGTGCTTTTCTTACTATCAGTCTGCATGCAGCTTCCCAGGTCCTAAGAACAGAGTTTCTCTCTGAATTAAAAAAAAAAAATTAAAATACCTGTATATAGCTTGCTTCTTGCTTCTACCAGAAACCTTCAGCTCTGACCTCTGTTTCATTGGCTCCATTGTTCCTTGTGCCCCCACAATATATTGGCTTTCTCTTTTCCAAAGAAAGAATGTGTTTTATCCAGCAGCACCTCAGCTTCAAAAAGCTCTTACTTCAAGTGTCCAGTGCATCATTCCCGGTAAATTTAAGAAATCCTCAGCTTAAGATTGTTTCTTTCAATCGTGTATAATGTAGATAACTTCATGACTAAATGTAAGAAACCAAGCCTTTGTTTGCCTGCCCCACCCCCCTTCACCATAGTCTGCGGGACATTATCTATTTTGTGTTTAGTAAGATGTAGGACAAGAAGATGATCCATGAATACAACTCACTTTTTTTTTTTAATCTTAAGGTTTGTAGAATTTAATTACAAAATTAAAAGGAGTAAAAGCCAGAAGGCTTTTACATTCCCACCAGCCTGGGAGAAGGGATAGGGGCCCTCCAGCAGAAAGGAAGCCTGGATGGGTGGGAGGGTACGTGGGAAGAGCTGGGGAAGAGCTGCCTCACTCCCACAGGGCAGGGATCCACACTCCAGCATCCTGAGCCGAGGAAGACCTATTGTTGGGAATGTCAGTCAGCTGACATTTTGCCTCCTGCTCTCTATATCTTAGAGAGGGATCTGCATTTTCTAAGCCAGTTGGCAGCATGCACCACAAACAGCAACGCACTGCAGGCCCGCGGTATAGACTGTCACCCTGTGATAAGTGTGCCAGCTCAGTGGCGCAAAGGTTTTCAGATACCCTCCCTTGGGCTATCATTCCAGTAAGCAGCGCCTCCTCCTCCTGCTCCTCCCCTCTCCCTTGCACACACTGAGCGTCAGGCTCTCAAAGCTCACTTCTCCACATAGTTACAATAACCCAGCCCAACCAGTGATGCTTAAAATTGAACCATGGTTCAGGGGAGCAGTAGGCTCTCCCTGCAAGCACCCTAATGTGTTAAACAGCCATGCCAGGTAGCGCTCTCCCTTCTGAGAAGCAGCTACTTAGAGAGACCATCTGTCAATAGAAGTTCGTTTTTATGCAAGTCCTCTAACCTAGCGTTTGAAGGATAAACAAACTTGTACTTATATAATTTCCTTTAAGGGCAGCGTTTCCCTACATGTCAACTCTCGCTGCCTGCTCTGACTGCAGGACTAGAAACGGAACAGAAGGGCAGGTTTTGGAGCCCTGGTAACTGAGCATGCACCTCCAACATGACTGCGTTTGTACAGCTGAGGCTCAACATGTAGGACTCTTTAGGTGGTTGGAATTATTTCATTTGGCACCACGATTGCCTCAAATAATACATATTTTTAGAGAAGCACTGCAAAAGTAAACTCAAACCAATTGGGACATTTATTCTTCAGGTTTAAAATTAATTTCCTGTATTTCTCTGGCTTTTAAAAAAAATTCCTATTGGAACTGCCACCTTACGAGAAGAAAAATCAGAAACTATTTCTTTTACGCCCAGCCCAGTATCAGATGAAATGGAAAAGTGAGGGCTTCCTTAGCGTTAACCCACTGGAACTTTCCAGCTGAGAACTGAGATCTGCAGACTGTTTTAGGTTAAGACCCTGCTTCATTCCATGTTAGGTAATCAGATGTCATTTGGGCAAAATAAATGGGAAGCACTCAAGGAATCAGAAGAGGTGAAAGAGCAGAATCTGGTTTGGATAAAAGTTTAATTCTTCAGTTCCAAGAGGCACAGCCCTTCGAAGATGCTGAGCACAGTCAGACAGGAGTGGCCGAGTAATGAAGATGGATGCATCTTGTTATCAGCAAGCCGTTTACTAGAGCCTGACGTAACCTTAAACATTGCAGATAGCTCAATGGCACTTGCCACTAAACCCCTAATTAATGAATAGCAGGCCCTAAATTAACAATGTGCATTTACAGATGAATTCTGGGCACTCATTAAATGATGTTCAAATACCAGACAGCAACTGTTGGCTTATTCCTGCTGGAGTGCTCCATCCAGGGTATGTTTAGGAGGAGTTTCCACCGGGGCTTTCCTGTCTTCCTGGGCTGAAGACTAGTTGTGGAGCAGAAATGGACACTGTCCCCCTGGAGTAGGGAGCAAAGAGATGCAAGTGAAGTTCTCAGTAGTAACACCTGGGCCTTCAGTTACACTCGATCAGAAACAATCCCATATTTAGCTGGTGCTCCAATTAAGGTTAATTTTTTAAAAGTTCAAATTCCAACCAGCTCTGCCAAGGATAGAATAAGACTTTTCAGAGCACAGCCTCATGCTGCACCTTCATGTGCTGGCTGGAATATCCTCCAAGGGTGGGGATGAAGGGCTCAGACAATGTGTAGATTTGTCTAGAAAAACCTTGATTCATAAACAAGGGCTCCTGGTGAGGGAGCTGGGGTCTGGCCGCAGTAGGGCTCCTTCTGACTGTCCTCTCCACTGAACCCAATGACCAGAGCCAACCAAAAATGTGTTCCACCGCCAACAGTAGCCCAGTTAATCGTCTAGCACATTCTATTGGGGGGTTTCCTCTTGATTTCGAGGAATAAAATGGGAAGCTGAGGACTTGTAATGTAACAAGGTGTAGCCGATGTGTGGGAAGGTGTATATGTGGCTATTAAATAAGATTATTGCCTTCAACTCTCACTGAAGTAAAATAAAGTCAGAAGCCAAGTATGAGTAAGACATTGGAAACTAAATTAAGTGAAGAGAAAAATTTTAAACTTCTGTGAGAGGTGGCCATAAGAGAGGTTCTTGCAGCACTAAGGTGAGAAGTAGAAGTGGATTTCAGGGAAGCTGGTGTTCAGAAACATCTCCCTCTGGGTCGTTTCTGCTCTGGCTAAAAGCCCAGGGTAAGCCTTTCTGTTGTGGGAAGAAAGCATCTGAGGCTTTGACCAGTCACTCTCTGGAAGCATCCATGCTAAAGAAAGCACAGCTGCCTGCCTGCCAAGGGCACAGGGCAGAGGCTGGGTACCACCCAGGAGAATTCCCCCTATGGCAGTGCCAAGACCCATGTATGGTCAGAAGCAAAGGCATTGCCTTGTTTCTATGGACCTTTTCCACATTAGGCTTTTCCAACTTGTGTGTGTATAAATTCAGGGGAAGGATACTTCCTTAGCTCCACAGAGGCAATATGAGGGCAAACCAGATTGCCAAAGCAGAAATAATAATAATAATAATAATAATAACTCCTGAGGCTGGGGTTGTGGCTCAGTGGTAGAGCGCTTGCCTACCAGGTATGAGGCCTGTGTTCAATTCTCAGCACCGAATATAAATAAATGCATAAAATAAAGATC